GTTGCAGGAACAGCAACTCATATTCCGCTTGGGAACCCTGCAGCCCAGTGGTATCAATGTGGATTTCACAAGCTTCAAAATCTCCCCTCCCCCTACCGCATCCCAAAACCAGTCCAGCTCGTCCCCGCCTCCCTAACCTGTTCTTCCTCCCACCTATCCCCTCCTCCCACCTCAAGCCGCACCCCCATCTCCTACCGACTAACCTCATCCCGCCCCCTTGACCTGTCCGTCCTCCCTGGACTGACCTATCCCCTCCCTAACTCCCTACCTACACTCACCTTTACTGGCCCCATCCCCGCCTCTTCGACCTGTTTGTTTCCTCTCCACCTGTCCTCTCCTCTATCCATCTTCTATCCGGCTCCCACTCTCTCCCTATTCATTTCAGAACCCCCTTCCCCTCCCCCTTTTCTGATGAAGGGTCCAGGCCCAAAACGTCAGCCTTTCTGCTCCTATGATGCTGCTTGGCCTGCTGTGTTCATCCAGCCCTGCACCTTGTTGTCTCTGATAATCTGCATGACTTGTTTTCAAATGTTAATCTGCCCCCACCTCCAATTATCTGAATATATTTACTCCTGATAAATTGAGATAAATTATGTGCTATAGTGAATTCTAATTTTTGAATATGCTGAATTGTCATTTACAGCGCAGATTTCCTCAGGAGTACATTCTGTCCGTTCCCCACGCCTTAGTCCTGACCAGCGTTATTTAATTTACCTGGAGGGTGGTGATGTTAGGACCCACCATCAGTGTCACAGTTTATCCTTGGTTAGTATCTTCGTCAATGTATCTGTAAATTTATTCCAAGAATGTTGTGAATAAAGAAATCTTTTCCAGTTGTCTAAAATATCAGACAGCATCTGAATATTCAACATTGCCTTTCTAATTCTGGGAATGCTCAACAATCAAAATTGGACAGTTATACAAAACTTGATCCTATTACCGTATTCAGACACCAGATTCTAAACATTAAAGCTTCAAGTGGGTACTTTTTGTTTTAAATTGAAAAATTACAACAAATATGGTAATTGTAAAAAAAGAAACAACTTATTTAGTGCATATATCATGAGCAAATGCCCCAGATATTTCATTGAGAAGAAAACAGATTCTGGCTCAACACAGGAGGAGCAAAAGCTTAGTCAAACAGGTGAAACCAGGTGTTCCTCCTGGCTCTGTAGCAACACTGCAGTTGATGCACTGGCTGAGTCTCTCAACAGCCCTCCCCAACACTATCTGACAATTATCTGTGCTGGTATCCATGAGTTTTGCTGAGCCCCAACTAAACAGCATCAGATCACATAAACATCTCAACAGTGCACCTGAATTGAATAAATGAGGTCCAAAGATCAATTTCTAGTGAGCTCAGGGCCTTCATTTCCTGGCATGTGCTGCAGGCTTATGTCTCACTTTGTCAATTTTTAGTACAACACTAAACTTCCAGCCAGCATGTCGTATCCCCAGTACCCTCTTTGATGTCACTGTGGATGTCAAGTTACCTGGTCGAACTTGATCCTTCCATTGGAAAAGAAATTGCAGACACTCCCCACGATCTTTTCCCAACTTTAATTTATAAATAATGGAGAAGAAACTTAAAATGTGTTCCTGACTTGTATTAAAACTGATTTTGTGATGGTCACCAAATGACTAGGGTGATGGGTTAGTTCAGCTATGTTACAGATGCACTGAGGGGTAACTGTGCAATAATTGAAATGAGTGAGATTTTTTAAACTTTGTTTCTGGGCGAAGTGTCACTGACAATGCCAGCATTTGTTGCCGACCAGAATTGCCATTAACAAGCTGTTGGTCACCTGCTGCCTTGAACTGCTGCAGTCAATCTGAAGTAGGTACACTGTTGTTAGGAAGGGAGTTTTCAGTCCTGTACTGAATCATGTAATTTTTTTCAGTATAATTTGGACAAAAAAATAATATCGACTGTGGTGAACGTTGTGGATTGTCCAACTGTGGGTGAGTGATGGAAAGTTTATCGTTCTATTAATTTGAAAAATAAGTCTCCTTAAGGCTGCAGATTTTATCTGTACTGTTCTACAGGTCCCAGTTATTTTACAGTACCTTAGAGCCAGTTTGCACATTTATGTCTGGAATGTTATTGTCAACCATCTATTTGGCTGTGCTTTTTAAGCACATTTCCAGTAAAGTCACAGGACAGTGTTCAGCACCAGAAACCATGGCTTCTTAATGCTCCCAAGCCTGGCAGCACCATTGGTGAATGATGTTGTCGCTACTGCTAACTGTCATGACTGAAATCACACCACAATTTAGAAAATGAACTTAGCTCTTATTTTTATGAATACACAATATCATTATCGAATTGACACAATGTAACAGATGAAGCGGTAGATTTTCAAATCTTATCCCTTATGCTATTTCTGACTTCCTATTTCTGAACGGGAAGGGCTGAAACCATTTGGAAGAATGGGGTTTCTAAGCAAGAAACAGTCTAAGTCCTCCCCAATCCTGGTAGCCATCTGATACAATGATAACGGATTAGTGGACCAATCAGGGCAATCAATTGCCATCTATTAGTAAACAACAGATTCAAAAAAGAAACCAGGAAAATCCCACTCGTGAGCACTTATTGAACCGTTGATCCAAATTGGTCTCTTTCTGGCAGGCGTGCTATAAATAAATACATTTTGTGAAGCAAATTACTCCTATACTCTATCCTAACCTTTTATTTTCTGAAAGTATCTCGATGTGCATGTTACTTCTTTTAGTATTTTAGTTCACTTAAATAAATTACTAATCTGATAAATCTGAACTTGATTGGAACCCAAATCTTTCTTTGCAAATCAGTCCCAGATATCAATTGTGACGTCTTTTTTCTTGGAAAGTTGAGGAACAGTTTTGTCAGTGAGTAGATTCCTCGGCAGTATATATGTAGTTAATCTTAACAACTCCTATGGGAGATGTATACAGCAGAGCAGTTGGTGTACCTGGCCCAGAGATTTCCTTTTCTTCCATCTTAGTGAGTATACAAGTGGACCCTGTCTCCACTAAGATTGATTAAAAAGACACTCCACTGGGGAATAATTCTGTAATAATAAAGCGTAATTCTGTACGCTTGTGTTACAAAATCTGAAGCCCATCATTAAAGAACAAACCTACAATTTTGTTACATTGAGAACGTAAACACCCACTGATTATTGAGAATTGTTGGACATGAATTCAAGTTGACTGTATTACAAGTATAATTTTTAAACAATGATAACTAATGTCTGTTTCAGATGGATTTACTGGCATTTACTGCTCAGACCTGGCGCAGAACTGCTGGGCAAGAGATAGCCAAAGGGTTGTGATCGACACAGCCCAGAGAAGCAGAAAGGTAACTGGGCTATCGTTTTATAGGACCAAGTGGAAAGGGAGCACAGAATCTGTTGGATAATTGAAGACTGAGGAAACATCCTTGTCATTTTTATTATTCATTCACAGGATGTGGGCATCGTTGGCCGCCCATGTCTAATCGCCCCAGAGAATGGTTAAGGGTCAACCACATCACTGAGTCTGGAGTCACATGTGGGCCAGATCGGGTAAAGACAGCAGATTTCCTTCCCTAAAGGGAATTAGTGAACCAGATGGGTTTTTCCGCAATAATTAGCAATAGTTTTCATGGTCATCATTAGACTCTTAATTCCCAATGGCGGTATTTGAACCTGGGTCTCCAGAATAGTACCCAGGCTTCTAGTCTGGCAATAATACCACTAGGCCATTGCCTCCCTGCTATAATGTGAAAACCTAGCTTATCACCAGAAGGTTCCAGCTAGTGCTGCATGTAACTTCTTAATGAGTGTTGGCAATTCCAGGAGAGGATCAAACGACTTGTGGAAGAATAGATAAATCAGTAGTGCAATCCTAAGGGGAAAGAAAAAAGCAAATAATGTGCCCAAGTGCTTTAGCAAATCTTGCACTAAAAATCTTATGGATGTCAAGTTTTTGGTGAGTATTCATTACTGGTAAGATCATCCGAAAACATAGGCGCAATTTAACTATTACTCCTCAACTCCTTCATCGTTGCGAAACTGTCAGTCTACTAATCCGATATCTGGAAATAGATGAGCAGCAATTTCTTACAGTAAAAAAAATTTGGGAAGACTATAACCATTGTTTATAGTTCCTGCTCCATTTCCTAGTTACCCAGTTCATTCAAATCTCACAAAATTGTATTTGACCCTGAGATGAGCTTCTGACTGCATTCACATCATCACTAAGACTGTTTATTTCCATTTTATAATAATGTCCAACTTCCCAGCTGCCTCTGCTGATCTTCTGGAACTTTTGTTTGCATCATTATTAATGTCACAGTTAACTACTCCATGCATTCTGGACTGCAATCTTTCATTTTACCTTACGTCAGCTTGAGTTCATTCAGAATGTTACTGCTTATGTTCTGACTTTTACCAGGGTCAATGAAACTATTATGCTTGTGCTTGCTGACCAGCAAGTCAATTGAAAATTTTCATTTGTTTTCAAGTCTTCTTTGGTCTTGTTTCTTTCCATCTCTATCTACCTATCTATGCTCACCTAACTCTGGCCTCTCGACCATCCCTGATTTCAGTTGCTGCACCTTTGGTGATCCGGTCTTCAGTTGCTTAGGACTTAAACTCTGGAGTTCCCTCACAGTACCTCACTTTCCTCCTTGAGGACACTCCTTTAAATCTGCCTCTCTTGTGTTTTGGAGTCATGTTTTATAGCACTTGGGACATTTATTAAAGTGAAGGCATAACTAAATATCTTTTGCTGTTGTTGAGTAACAGGGTATCCTTTGTTTAAGAAATCCAATTAAACAAGTCCATGAGAATTGAATTTTGAACAACTGTTTTAAATAGAAGTCCCTCTATAATTGAACATTTATTGAAAGCAGCATAATGCAAATTTATCTTTATTTGGTATAATCACTGTTACTGTATGTGGATTTAATTTTCAATTTCACTTCAGTTTGTGAAGTATTGTGTCAGCATTCTAAGTGTATAAATAGGTATGAGTAATATGTTACCTTCATAATGTTGACTTTATTTCAGAACTTAGCTCCAGTGTATCAACATGAGTTTTATGTCACTTTTGACTTCACCATGCTTGAAGCATTGGAGAAGGCAGTCAAATATGGGTTTAATTATATTCTTTAATTATAGAATCCCTACAGTGTGGAAGCAGGTCATTTGGCCCATTGAGCCCACACTGACCCTCCGAAGAGCATCCCACACAGACCCATCTCCTACCCTGTCCCTGTAATTCTGCATGTTCCGTGGGCAATCCACCTAACCTGCATGTCTTTGGACTGTGGGAGGAAACTGGAGCACCCGGAGGAAATCCATGCAGACACTGAGAATGTGCAAACTCCAGTGCAGACAGTCGCCCAAGGCTGGAATTGAACCTGCGTCAAAAATTAACCATGATTTCATGGTCACCATTCGGCTCTTAATTCCAGATTTTTATTGAATTCAAATTGTATCAACTGCCGTGACAGGATTTGAACCCAGGTCCCCAGATCATGAGCTGGGTCTCTGGATTAACAGCCCAGTGATAGTACCAATACACCATTGCCTCCACTTCCTTGCTTTCACTCTTGCTTGAGATTAGAGGGAAAGGCATGGGTATGTTCTGGTTTTGCTGCTAACAATATCTTTCTTCACCCAGATGGCCATTCTTCACATCGATTCTTGACTGTGATTGACTGCTAGCTTTTAATTCATGGAGAGTATCACAATCAAGTGTTTTTTCTGTTTTTATCCGGCAGTCCTATTGTGTATTTGAAAATGAGAATGTGACCATTTTTGTTTCTTTTCTTTCTCAATAGGTGCTGGTGCCAATTGTATTGTGCTTAACTATTGTCTTGACTAAGATATATGGAAAATATTTCATTCTTTAAACCCATGCATGATATGCAAAAGTGTTCACAAACTCAATTAACAAGGCTTAGTCTCTACTGCTGATCTGTGTTTATTCCTTACATTCTCAGGATCTGATTGTAATAAACACTCCAACAGGAATTGTGACATCAGTCACTACTGGTAAGTATTGCTTGTTCCTCTCTTTCCTCTTCCATTATATCTACATTGCACTGCTTCCAATACAATTCTGAAGAAAAGAAAATCCGAATGTTGGCCTTGCATTTTATTTCCTGCCTGATTTTTACCTCATCAACATAGCCCTCTCTATCCTTTTTATAGTCACTTTCTGCTAAAGAAAAAAGTAATAGGAAGCAAAAATTCCAGGCTGTCAGGATTATTGTCTGGATTGAAATACAGTCACGTACACATGTCTATCGTAGTCTGTCAAAGTCCTCTTATAGAGTCATAGCATGATCCAACTTTGATCGAACTCGTCCATGCCAACCATGTTCTCAAACCAAACTAGTCCTACTTGATTGTGTTTGGATCATATCCCTCCAAACCTTTGCTATTCATTACTTATCCAAATGTCTTTTAAAAGTTGAAACTGTACCTACATCCACCATAACTTCGACTGTGAGGCACACACACTGTAGGTAGACATCTCAATAAAGTTCTCATATTGAACATTCAGCTGTGTTGTGCACTTAAAACATGGTGCAGAAGAGGCACTCATGCCACTGAGGTGAGTGTTCAGAGCAGAAATAAATAGCACAGCTACAGAGCTGTGAGCTGCCACTGAGAAAGGAAAAAGACAAAATTAAAGGATACAGTTAAGACACAGCTTAAGAGAAAGTGGCTGCAGCTTTTCCCCATCAGCTCCTTTTCAAATTGCACTCAGGCCTCATGTCTGCTAATTTGATACCTGTGGATCCCCATACTCATGAAGTCAGCCCCAGACCCTAATTTTTTCCATTGATTCATCCAATCTGATAATGCAGTCCTTCACAGTCCATAGTAGAGCAGAATCTATGTGTTCCTGTTCTCCACAGGAAGTCTGTGCCCCATACCCCCATGGATAACAAGAATTTGATGAACTGGGAATTCTTCCACGAACAATGGCAGAATTATACATTAACTGTGGATTTGTTGAACAAACCAGAACAGGATGGGAGATTTCAAGACTGGGGGTACATTTTTAAGGTAAGATGAGAAAGATTTAAAAAAGACGAGGGGCAAATTATTTATACAGAGGGTGGTTCACGTGTGGAATGAACTTCCTGCGGAAGTGGTGGATGTGGGAACAATTACAACGTTTAAAAGACATTTGGATAAATACACGAATTATGTTCGGCATGGACTGGTTGGATCGAAGGCTGTGTATGTCTTTATAACTCTTAAGTACAAGTCGCTATGCTCTTCTCACCATTGGGAAAAGACTTCTCAAAGTATGTTCCAACCTACATCTCTCTGAAGAGCAGAACAAATGTGGCAGAAATTTTAAATGCTTTGAAGGCTGCCTTGAGACCGAAGTGAACGTTGCATTTGTGTGGTATAGATCCGATACTAAGGAATAAAGTTTTTAAATCAAACCATTGTCAACAGGCAACATCATTGACTCCGCTTGCAGAAATCTGTGAATTTGTGCAAATACAAGATGAACTAATTAAAAACAAAATCACCTTAGACATTAAAACCATGACAGGTAAAAGTAGAATCTCTGATTCTTGAAGAGGCTATAATGATATGCAGAAGGTGTGAACTGGTAAAGCAACAGCTACGTGCATACATGGAAATACAGGTGAGTTTGTCTACAGTGTGAAGAAACAATCCAGGGTTGTGCACTACATCGATCAGCTGTTCATATCTGTCCACTATATTGAGAAACAGCCTATGCCTTCCAAGTTCGACAATATGGAAAACAGAAAAAGTATCCACAGAAGAACAAGTTGCAAATATTGTGGAAGTAAACACAATAAAGCAAAAGAAAGCATGACCAGCATAGAAAAACAGTGTTGTAACCGCAAGAAGCGAAACCATTTTGCGCACGTCTTTTACTAGGTGATAAACAAACAGGCTTATGACAACACTTGCTACAAAGATGTCAGACAACATTTCAGACAAATCAAGTGTGGCTACGAGAGACGTGTCGGAACTGGCAAGATTACTTTTTTCAACAAACACTTCTGTTGCCAGCTCAAATTTGACCTGAACTCTGATTAATTTTAAAAATGATAACTTCAGATTGACAGGTTCCATGCATTAAACGATTTTGCAAATTTTGAACACCACAAGCACAGATTTCTTTTGAATAGAAAGTTTAGGATTTTTCAACATTCAGCTTTGAATGCACTTTCTGAAGAATGTAATGAAAATTGTAACTTGTCCACTAAAGGAGATTTTGATTGTTACAACATTGCCCATTTTCTATATAGCCATCTTGAACCAAGTTTAAACAGAATGAAAGATGATAATCGTGTACATTACGATCCTATCAGCAGCACTCGGGAATAAGTTATTTTACCTTGATATTGACAGGTTGATTTTTGAGCAAGTGTGCATACCAGGCTGCGGAAATACAGAGAATGTATTTCCTTATTGTACAGGATAGTCTATTCATGAGATTGGGCAGGTGAACTCAAGGAATTGCTGGTAAAGCCTAAGTGTCATTAGCCATTGTGTTCCTTTTTGAAGCCTGAAGAGATCATCATCTGTACAAAAGCTGATATTTTACCCTAAGCACTTAAGATTGAAAACAAAAAATGCTATTAGCACTGACCATCTTGGTTCAACTGCCTTAACAATGACCAGCACCTTTTTTCCTTTCATGTAACTGAACTAACCCTTGACCAAACGTAAGATTTTCAACCCCACAAACCTACTAGGAAGACAACTTGAAGTATTGTTCACGATTTGAAGGCAGAGGTCCTCCTAGTTTAGTCTATGTCAACATAGAAACACCCTGAACACACTCAGAACTCCACTTTCCTTTTAGGCTTACCAATCTTTAGTAAGAAAGAGTCTTGCCGTTGAGTCTGAAATGTTTCTGGTGAGCATCTGGAGTATTCGGTTTTGTCTGCTATAGGTTCAGAAGTTGGGAGCTGGAGACTGCTGGACATTCACCAGGATCTGATGGTGGTTAGCTGTTCATCCCCTAACTGTCCGCCCACTTTGGTAAGTGGACCCTTTGATTAAATTAGACCTATACTATTTTTTTTAAATGGTGTGAAGCCTGAAATCTAACATTGACCGTTAACAGTAATTGCAGAAATCCGCTAGGTTAGGGGCCATGGATTCTGATAATATTAACAATGTATATATGTTTAAATTTTCAAATATATCATTTGTTAGACAAATAGTATCAAAACTCTAACCGTGCAGTACTTAAGTGATTTTATTTACCCAGTCTGCGGTACACATGAATTTTTGAACATTCACATTTGATGAATAAGCTCAGCAATTTTCCCAGCACTGGCACAGTTTTCCTTATTTTCTGACAGATGGCCTCCCCAGATTGGGAATTAAGTCTGCTGTACCTAAGGTTTTTCCAGTCCTCTGCACTGACAGACCTCCCCTTGAGGAGTCCGAAGGCTGAAATAAAACCATGCAAAACATTTTAAAGAGCACCCAACTCCAATACTTGTCTTCCAAACACATAAGACAGATGATTGTTGCAATAACAGCAATAAACTGTGTTGCATCTTTAATCTGCTCAAGAAAACTTTGTCCAGCAATGTAAAATTTTGAACTTGTTTTGAATTTTTAAACAATCATAGTTGTAGAGAAAATGGAAAAATGTTTGCAATACTAGTAAAAATACATGTATCATGTATCTCTATGCACAGAAATGATTTGCAAAGTGTCCTACTATTCATTGTTTATCCCCTTTAACTTCATTAGGTGGTGTAAATAATTCTTGAAATCTGCAGAATATAATGAGTTCCCATTGAGGCATCAAAGGGCAACACTGCAGAGTACTATTTCATCACCGTTAGCCTAGTGACTCCACGTAGCACAGAGGAAAGCCACAATTGTATACTTTACAGAACATAACAGGCAATATTGCTTATATTTGTAAAAACTATTTTATTTCTATAGAAGATAGGTTTCCTGCCAGCTGCGGGCCAAGAGGAAAGGATCACTTGGGTGACACTGGATGAAACTGAGCCATTGCCAAGAATAGAGTGGAAAATCCTGGCTTTTACACCTCCACCTGAACAGAGAAATCCTAATTTCCGTAAGTAGTTTGAGGCAATATATATCTGGCAGATCTTAATCTCAAGGATATTTATATTTTTACGCATAAATCTTTTTTTCACTCTCTTTTCAGGTCTGCACACAGCTGTACGTAACCATATTTGAATAAAACACTTTGTGACTTTTTCCAGTTGTTGCATTTTAACTGCTTCATACACCAGTGGTGTTCCTTAGCATTACTTTTCCAGTATCTTTGAATTTAGGACAATATTTTTATATTATGGACGAAACATTAATACGTTTTGTTTTAAAAAACATATGTTTTGTTGAAACTTTTAATCTTGCACTCGTTGGCATTCTTGCAGATTGTCCTGCTGTAATGGGGAGAAATCAACATGTACAGTGTATTTTGGTTTTGTCAATTGAATTGGTATTCTTATGAATTGTCCTGGTGAGGTCAAAGTGATGTCTTTTTCCAATAATATTCAAATTCTGTACTGCAAACAATTTCTTTTTATTTAACTGGAGGACACCGCAGTCAAGCTTGATTCACAATCTACCAACTTTTATAATGATGGCTTACTGGATAGGTAGCACAAAGATCCAGAAAGATCAAGTCACTTTGGCTTGCTAATACACTTAGTGTGCTATGATCTGCTGGGCCTTTGGAGACAGCACTTGCTTGGTTTCATATTGTTTCTATCATTTTGTTTTTTGTCTTGCATGTTGATGAGGTAAAGGAGTAATATCAGTGATTACAGCAGTAATGGTATTCCTTCATTGGATCTAAGTTCTGGAACTCCCTTGGTAAAAGCACTGTGGGCATACGTCCATCACACAGACTGCTGCAGCTCAGGAAGATGGCTCAATGCCACCTTCTTCAGGGCAGTCAGGAATAAATAAATGCTGGTCTTGTCAGTAATAACGACATCCCATGAAGTGTTTTCCTGAAGAAAGGACAGAGCATGTTTGTTTTCGCTCTACCTCGCATCATGTATATACATTTTATTGGGCAGAGTTGAGGTTTCTTTATGCTGAACTGCCAAGACTGGTTAACGTTAGAGCTCTAGTTCTTGTTAGTTTCCCACTATTAAAAGAGGCCAAATGTGACTTTACATATCGTGTTCACAGTCCGAATGTTTCTCATTCAAGGAATAAGGAGATGTGGGACACCAAGAGTTAGCTAGAATTGAGTGCAGAATTATTTTTTTTTTAATTTCCATCATTTTATTTTAATTGTACTTTGTTGTTTCTTGAATTTCTGACAGCTGTCCTCCAATTTGAAAGTATCCTACTCACACCTGAAAAGAATGAGAATATCAAACCACCACTTGTTGTAATTCCACATGGTGAGTGGAAACCCAGGCCATACTTTGGTCTGGAAAATGTGCATGAAAGGAGACGCGGTTAAAATGTTGAACTATATCCTGCTAACATTTGTTTCTAGATAAATGGAGGCTGTTATTTTGGGAATCGGGGAGAAACTTTATAGAATTGCCTCTGAAGATTGGATAATAGGAATCAAGTTCACAATAAGGCAAATTGTACCTCAAAAGATAACTTGCTTCATGAACCATATGGAGTTTATCCTTCATTTAAAATAAGTCTGAAAATTAAAGATTTAGAGAAACAGTAAAAATATTATTAACAATTGAATGTTGGGATGCTTAAAATAGAAAAGAGTTGTTGGATGTGGCCACTAGCTGTCAAAAAAGTAGAAAAAGTGTTTCGGTATGCATTCACAGGATGTGGGCATCATTGGCAAGATAAAGCCAGAATGTATCCCATTCTTGATCGTATATAATCCTTGTGAAGGGAAAAGTGAATCACCTTCTCAACAACTGAATGGTTTGTTGTCCATTTCAGACAGCATATAGGAGTCAACACATACAGACTAGACCATAACAAATAGGAGGGCAGTGGTTAGCCACGTAGCCCATTGAGCCTGCTTTGCTATTCAATAAGATCATGGACGACTTAATCGTGGCCATAACTTCTCATTCTCCATAACTTAACACATTTGTACGCCAATAACCTGTATAACTTGGTCTTGAATATATTCAATGACTCGGTACACACAGCACTCTGGCGAAGAGAACTCCACAGACGAAGCACCCTTTGAGAGAAGAAGTTCCACCTCCTCTCCAGTTTACATGAGAGACCCCTTATTTTATACTGCTACCGCACCCGCCCCCCCGCCTAATTCTAGTTATTTGCTTTACCTGTATGCCAACTTTTTGTAATTCATGTACAAGGATACCCAAATCCTTCTCTAATGCAGAAATCTGCAGTCTCTGCATTTAAATAGTAACAAATGCTTTGCTCTTCTTCCCACCAAGGTGGAAAATTTCACATTTTTCTTACATTGTACTCCAGCTGTCAAATATTTTACATTCGCATAAGCTGTTTCTTTTTAAAGATTGTTTTGTATCCTCTCATGACTTGCTTTCTTAGCTATGTTTGTATAATCAACAAATTTTCTACAATATGTGTAAGGAGATCAAGTTTCTTTTCCATAAATGAGATTTCTGCACTAGTTGGATTTTCATGACTATCAGCCTACTGTCACTATTCCTTACACAGGTTTTTTTATTCCAGAATTATTAATCAACTGTATTTAAGTTGATGTTGTGAAACATTTCTTTGAGGATTCTTCTGGGATTTTTCCTGAGTTAAAATAATGGTGAATTGATTATAATTGGTGAAAAACTTTGTTTACTTTTTTTTAATAGCCTTTTACTGTATCTCCAAGTGTGTCCCATTATCAATTATTATTTGAAATGCAGCAACTGTCGATATGTAGGCAAATCAGATGGAGAAATGGAAAGGATATACGGGTTTATTATCATGTCAGTAGCTTATTCAGCCATATTAACATAAATCTTAATACCATGTGCTTCATTCTACAGGAGGACCTAATTCGATCTTTGTTGCCGGTTGGATGCTGCTGCCTGTTGCTTTTTGTAGGCTGGGATATGCAGTGCTGCTTGGTTAGTATCAGATTTAGTAATTCTATTTCTCCCCCACTCCGCTCCTGATATAAATGGTTACATTTTGGGTGTGGTCCCACATGAGTAGGTCGATTTATAGTGGCTTACTTTGATCACGTGTGCTGTACAGCTGAATCCAGTCTATAACCAGAAGGAAGTGGAGAATGAGTTAAAGGCCTGAAGGGCTAAATGGCCTACTCCTGCGCTAAACCCCTTTGTTCCTGTGTCCTCACTTGGTAACCCCACAAAAGGGTCATGTGGTCACAGTCACATAAGAAACCTGGTTCATTTTTTTTTGCTTCAGAGCCTCTGAAGACGTTGCAATTGGTGTTTATCTTTGCTTCCCAGGATGATTTTAGACTAATGAATGGTTTTGGTGAGAAAAATAAGTCTGTATAAACTAGATATGATCCAGCCAGATGTGGTGATGGTTGGCTTTCTAATTAGTTAGTCGCTCTCTGGATAATCTGTAAGCTGCACCACAGGGAATTGAGGAAGCAGAGATGGTCCAAATGGGAGTGGGTTGAGGTCTAACTAGAATCAAGCACATCAGCAGTGGAGGTGTGACAATAATTTAGCATAATCAATGGTTGCCAAAGTTAAATGGTGAACAAAAGCCAAAGATTTGGCATTTGAGAGTCTGAAAATGTAATTGTTCATGACTTGGATGAATGTTTTGTTCTGGGATTGTGATAACTTGGGGGAAATTGAGTTAGAATGGGATATGGGGGTGTATGTGATGTGGGAAATGAGAAATTGATTAAAAATGACTTAACGCCTGATTGAGACCATGGAAGTAGAGAGGCCCAAGGAAAAGCTGAAGGAGTTGGAGATTGTTTTCCAAGGCCTTTCAAGTAAAGTACAGAGTGACAAGAATCTGTAAAAGCTTTTGGGTTGTATGTGTGACTTAGAGTATACATTGTGAACATAAGGTGCATGGAAAAACATTTGTTTCTATTGCCCTTTCTGTCATTTTCTATTTGACATGTTTTGCCTTGAGGTTATAAGCTTGATGAGGAAAGTACACAATGTTGATGTATCTAAGAATGAAAAATGTTGTATGGAGACGAGTTGAATTTTGTTCCACCTTCTGTAACTTTAACCAACTGTAAAATTGAAATGTTTTGTAACATACTTTTATATTTATAATTTAACAGAAAAAAATGAACATACGTGGAAGAGTTAAGTAATGTAGAAGGAGGGCAGTGAATTGAAGAAAAAAGATAAAGATCGTCAAGGATAAGTAGTTACTCTGTATCGAGGCTGAGTAAGGAAAGGATAGGTATCCTAGTATTGAGATGTAAGGTGACCATCCTATAGTCATAGCTGGGAAACTCTACTTTGTAACCCACTTACGTTTTTATTTGGTCTAGTTGTGGAACCCTTGAGACATCTTAAATGATTGGCTCAGGTTCGTTCGAGTGTGCTACCCTGATGGAATTATTTTGTGTATTTTGCAGTGAACTACAGAGGGTCCAGTGGCTTTGGACAAGACAGTATTCGCTCACTGATTGGTAACATAGGAAGCCAAGATGTGAAAGATGTACAGGTTAGCAGTTAGTCAACAGCTTACATGAGAAAAGACAATGCAAAACAAACTGCAGAAAAGTTGAGTTTCATCTAATATTAGATGTATTTGATATAAAAACAGAAAATGCTGGAGAAATTTAGCAGTCTGGCAACATCATGGAGAGAGAAACAGAGTTAATGTTTTGCATCCAGTATGACTCTTGAAAACAGTAAGAGGCTGGAAAATGAAGATTTTTATACACTTGACTAAGCACAAAGCTAAGTCACACAATTTGTTTGTCTAAAAGTTATTGTAGCAAAACACATCAATATTCTTCACAGTCTCTTAAAAAATGCTGTGCCTTATTGCATGACTTTTCCTTTACAATCATGAGTGAATCTGTAATAATTCATTGTTCTCCTGCCACAGGCATTCCAATTAGTAGATGATTTCAGGAATGCTAAATGTTGGCTGTATACCTATTGACTATAAAATGCAATATTAGTTGCAATGTTTATGTATCAAAGAGTAGCAAATTCACTTGCATGCTGTGGCACATGACACATTTTTTATTCTGTAGTTCAGTCACTTTAACTACTAATTAAATGCTAAAATTAATTCATTGGTTTGTCAGTGCACCTGCGTACTCAGACGAAATTGCTGGAAAAGATGCTTGAACCCAGAGTGCTTACTGCTCCTGATGACTTAAAACTAATTCACATAATTGCTACTGTGTTGACTTCAACATTTAGTGTACTTGTGTTTATTTCAGAATTAATGGAGTTATTGAACTAAACAAGACTCAAATGCGAGAGAATGTTGCTTGAAATTTCAGTTGTGCCAGTTCTTATGCCACATGAAATTTACATTGACTTGTTCCTGCAATTCAGTGATGGTTAAAACTGGAAATTTTGCGTATGCATTAACAAAATCAAAACTTAACATTCTCACTACGCTAGTGTGACGCAGTAACTTCTACTGAAGGCTTCAGGTTTGATCATTGTTCTGTGTTAAATTTGCTGATGTCAGGTGACATTCAAGAGTTCCTACTCGTAACACTCTGCAGCGACTGTGCTGAAAATGTAGTAAGTGTGTGTCCCATAAACCCAGAAATGACTAATCGAAGCACCTCCTTGATGGTTATATTTATCCAGCGAATACCTCACCCACAACAGACCAAGATGATCTCATACTTGAGCCTCTGCTTTGCCTGGCAGTTGGCAACCAGCACTGGATTGCTTGTCTATTGTTTACTGACTTAGGTTGGATGTGTGCTTGAGCAATATCAAATAACATGGTTGGGCTTTCTAGCAGTGTTTCTTATGACTGAATTGCCTACTAACATTCATTGTCAAGGTTTACATTGAATAACGGTGAGATCCGGAGAAGGACAAAGATCAACTATGAAAGTCGACAACACTTGATGCATTTTAGTGATTACATTACAGACATTGTGCTTTTTACTTTATGATATTTTTCATTTTGCTATTATTGTCATAGAGTGACACAGATCAGGGAGTGATTCAGTATTGTCAGACTTTAAAGAATGCCAAATTGGTACGTCTGCAAATGGAGTGCAGAGAAGAAAAGCATTGGCATCAGCAGTGGCTGTAGATTTGGCACGAGGCTTCTTGTTGTTGGCTTTGCTCATGACCTACTTGTATGCTTACATAAAGAGCTTAGTCATTCACAAAATAAAAAGCTTGTCTCTTGTAACCAAATCTTTTAATATTGCATTGGGCATCAACAGTTTCAGCTTGTCACAAAAAATAGAGTGCATTAATTGATAATAGAAACTCTTGGCTAAAGGAGTTTGCTTGGAAGATGTCGAAAGAAAACCTTGTCCTGTCAAACAGTTAATTTGTGAAATGGAGTGCAGATCAATCATGGTTTGTTGGAAGCATTACAGTAAGGGTTGGTTAGGAAAATCTCCAGAATGGTGTCTATTTTTGTACTACTTTTCCAAAAGCTTCACTTTTATTTCAGTATGCTGCTGAAAGTCTGTTAAAAGAAGGGGTTGTGGATTCTCAGAAGGTGTTGCTGATTGGTGGTTCTCACGGAGGCTTTATTGGCTGCCATCTGATTAGCCAATATCCTGATTTCTACAAAGCCTTTGCCACAAGGAATCCTGTCATTAATCTGGCTTCCAAGCTGGGGACAACAGACATTCCTGACCAGTGAGTGCAGACTTTCCTTCCCGGAATCAGTATGTTTTCAAATAATATGTTAGATTTTGTTGCTGAGGTATGCCAGTTATGTATGCCTGTGTAAAGAGAGCACCCATTTCTAGATTCCTATTCTAGTAATGCATAAGATTGTGGTGCCTGACTGAGGTTCTGTGCTGTCTCTGAACTGTGGGATCCAGATTTTATTTTGACCCAGTGCAATCTGATAAAAGTCTCTTTCAGTTGGTTCTAAGATTTGAGCTACAACACAGTTTGGCAAAGTGCTGAAGTAGTAATAATGTCACTGGACTAGCAATTCAGACATTATCTCCCTCACCCACTCCATTCCTGTTGCTTCTCACCCCCAATGTGTTGCTCCCCTTGCAGACTCACCTTTTTCTCAGCTTGTTTGCAGTCCTCTCCCATTTGCAGACTCCTTTCACACCATCCGTCACTTCCCAGGCTTCTGTTTTTACTAGCCTCACTTCCCACCAACCCTTCAACAGTTGTTTTTTTTGTCCAGCCACTTCTTGAGGCCTCTGGCCCTGCTTCCTTTGTACTGACCACCTACCTGTGGTCCTGCTTGGGCTTGGGAGACTTGCTCACCGCCAGTATTAGCTACTTTACCGCTTCACCAATCACAGGCAGCTTCCCTCTGGCACTTGCTTTTGTTAGGTTCACTATGAGCCCATCAAGAGCATGAGAGGGGAGCAGTTCTCTGCAGATTCTTATTGTCCCAACTCTGGGGAAGGGAGTACTTTTTTTTTTAAAATCTGTTGCCCATGTGATTAAATTTTCTTCCCAACATGGCCACTTTGGTGAGAAAATTCACTTTTTCTATGTATTTTGAGCTTCTGACTTACTGAAACCTTTCCATCATCTACAAGGCACAAAGCAAGAGTGCAACAGAATATTCTCCACTTGCCTATAATTTTGCAACTCCAACACTCAAAAAGGTGAGCACGATTTAGGATAAAGCTGCCTGCTTGATTAACAGATAGTAGGAACGGCAGATGCTGGAGAAATATTTCTGAAGAAGGGTCTAGGCCCGAAACGTCAGCCTTCCTGCTCCTCTGATGCTGCTTGGCCTGCTGTGTTCATCCAGCTCTACACCTTGTTATGCTTGATTAACAGCCCATCCGCCACCATCACATCACCAATGCACAGTGGCAGTGACATTTATCATGAATAAGATCCCCTGCAGCAACTCACCAAGGCCCATTAGGTAGTACCTTACAAACG